ATTGTGCTTTGTCTCCATCGCCAACTCTGCCATGTGCCACTTTACAGGTCTCCTCACACTGCTGGTGTGTTGAATTTTTGACAATAGGGGTGCTGGCAGCTTAGGGCTCCGCCAACGCTGGCTGCCACGGGCCCCTAATTGCTTGGGCCCTATACCACCTCCTCATGCTGCTGTTGCCAAGTCCCGAGTCTCTCATGGGTCCTGTACGGCCTCCCATTGTTCTGTCTCCATCCGCCACACTTTGCATGTGGCCACTTTCAGGGTTCCCTCCTCACACACTCTGGTGTGTTTCAATTATGTTGAACATAGGTTGCTACGCGCAGATTATTACAGCGTCCTTCCATAGCGGCGGCCCGGCCCTCTAAATCATGCCAATAGGCACCTATATGACCGCCTGCTCTCGTGGCCTGCATGACATAGGGTCCATGAGTCTCTCAATGGGTGGCCCTGGTCGGGCTCTCTCCCATAGCTGCCTGGTGCTCCAGTCATGTCCACACTCGTGCCATGTGGGCCACTTTCACACTGCTGGTGTGTAGAATTTTTTGACATAGGGTGCTGATTACGGGCCTCCCATAGCTGCTGCCAGGCCCCTAATCTGCCATGGGCCCCTATATACTCGCTGCTGCTCCTCATGCTGTCATGGGTCCCTGCCAGCCTCCACAGTGTCTCACTTGCCATGTGCCACTTTCAGGTCTCCTCACACTGCTGGTGTGTTGAATTTTTTGACATAGGGTGCTGGCAGATTATGGGCCTCCCTATAGCTGCTGCCAGGCCCCTAATCTGCCATAGGCCCCTATATACCGCTTCCTCATGCTGCTGCCAGGTCCAGAGTCTGTCATGGGTCCCTGTACGGCCTCCATTGCTGCTGTCTCCATCGCCACACTCTGCCATGTGCCACTTTCAGGTCTCCTCACACACTGCTGGTGTGTAGAATTTTTTGACATAGGGTGCTGGCAGATTACGGGCCCTCCCATAGCTGCTGCCAGGCCCCTAATCTGCCATAGGCCCCTATATACCGCTCCTCATGCTGCTGCCAGGTCCAGAGTCTCTCATGGGTCCCTGTACGCCTCCCATTGCTGCTGTCTCCATCGCCACACTCTGCCATGTGCCACTTTCAGGTCTCCTCACACTGCTGGTGTGTGTAGAATTTTTTGACATAGGGTGCTGGCAGATTACGGGCCTCTCTATAGCTGCTGCCAGGCCCCTAATCTGCCATAGGCCCCTATATACCGCTCCTCATGCTGCTGCCAGGTCCAGAGTCTGTCATGGGTCCCTGTACGGCCTCCCATTGCTGCTGTCTCCATCGCCACACTCTGCCATGTGCCACTTTCAGGTCTCTCCTCACACTGCTGGTGTGTAGAATTTTTTGACATAGGGTGCTGGCAGATTACGGGCCTCCCATAGCTGCTGCCAGGCCCCTAATCTGCCATAGGCCCCTATATACCGCCTCCTCATGCTGCTGCCAGGTCCAGAGTCTGTCATGGGTCCCTGTACGGCCTCCCATTGCTGCTGTCTCCATCGCCACACTCTGCCATGTGCCACTTTCAGGTCTCCTCACACTGCTGGTGTGTAGAATTTTTTGACATAGGGTGCTGGCAGATTACGGGCCTCCCATTGCTGCTGCCAGGCCCCTAATCTGCCATGGGCCCCTATACCGCCTCCTCATGCTGCTGCCAAGTCCAGAGTGTGTCATGGGTCCCTGTACGGCCTCCATTGCTGCTGTCTCCATAGCCACACTCTGCCATGTGCCACTTTCAGGTCTCCTCACACTGCTGGTGTGTTGAATTTTTTGACATAGGGTGCTGGCAGATTATGGGCCTCCCATTGCTGCTGCCAGGCACGTAATCTGCCATGGGCCCCCGTACCGACTCCTCATGCTGTGACGTTGCAACAAGGTGGAATTCAACCCTACATATGTTAGACCGCCTTTACGAACAGCGAAAGGCCATCACCGATTTCCTGATGTTAAAAGCGGATAAAGGTACTCCCTGTGTAACTTAGATGTCAGCCATTGGCAGCTCATGCGTGACACCTGCGCTTGCTCAGGCCCTTTGAGGAGGCCACGCTATTCGTGAGTCGGCAGGACTATGGGGATGAACGACGTCATTCCTCTGTTGCACTGGAACAAATGCTGGGCTGGTCAGGGTGCGGTAGACGTGGCGCACAGATCTCAACGCCACATGACCCCTGTGGGGGCAGGACAGGAAGAAGAGGAGGAGGTAGAGGAGGACATTGGTGCTCAGGAATTATTGAGTGAAATGGGTGGTTTTTCCACTCAGCGGACAGGAGTGGAGGAGCAGGAGCATCTGGTAGAGGAGGAGGAGGAGGAGACAGAGGACCCAGACGCACCGTGGCAGTATGCTGTGGAGATGGAGGCAGGGAGTCCCTCGCATTCCTTGGCACAAATGGCCCATAGCATGCTCGGTTGCTTGCGTAGCGACAGCCGAATAATAACCATCAGACAGAGGGATGACTTTTGGCTGTCCACCTTGTTGGACCCTCGCTACCGTTCAAAAATGGTGGCCTTTTTCACACCTGCTGAGAGGGAGGCCAAAATAACGTACTATAAAAACCACCTATGTAGTCAGCTGGTCTCTGCCTGTCTGCGCCAACGTCCATCCTCAGACACTGTGGGCCCTGTGCGCTCGCGTTCCGCTGCCATGGCAGCAGGGGAGGGGTGGGGTGGTAGGAGCAGTGGCAGCTCCACCAGCAGCGGCTGCCTCAGTCTGCAGTCGATGATGAGTAGCTTTCTTCACCAGCGCAGTGAGGAAACTACTAACCAGCCGCAGCAGCAGCAGCAGCAGCAGCATCAGGTGGACCTGGAGCAGGACCTCAAACAACAGGCTTAGGCCTACTTGGACAGCACCCTGCCAACCGAGGTAGACAATCCCCTTGACTACTGGGCAACGAAACTTGACCTTTGGCCCCAACTAGCTGAATTTGCCCTTGAAAGGCTGTCATGCCCGGCCAGTAGCGTGGCATCGGAGCGCGTGTTTAGTGCGGCAGGAGGTATTGCAACTCCGCGGAGGACACGACTGTCCACCCAAAGTGTGGAGAGAGACTGACGTTTGTGAAAATGAATCAGGCGTGGATTAGTCTGGATTTCAAACCACCAGTTCCTGACACAACTGACTAAATCCGCCATGAATCATGCCCCAAACATGTGCCACTTTCAGGTCTCCTCACACTGCTGGTGTGTTCCATTTTTTGTCATAGGGTGCTGGCAGATTACGGGCCTCCCATAGCTGCTGCCAGGCCCCTAATCTGCCATGGGCCCTATACCGCCTCCTCATGCTGCTGCCAAGTCCAGAGTCTCTCATGGGTCCCTGTACGGCCTCCCATTGCTGCTGTCTCCATCGCCACACTCTGCCATGTGCCACTTTCAGGTCTCACACACTGCTGGTGTGTAGAATTTTTTGACATAGGGTGCTGGCAGATTACGGGCCTCCCATAGCTGCTGCCAGGCCCCTAATCTGCCATAGGCCCCTATATACCGCCTCCTCATGCTGCTGCCAGGTCCAGAGTCTGTCATGGGTCCCTGTACGGCCTCCCATTGCTGCTGTCTCCATCGCCACACTCTGCCATGTGCCACTTTCAGGTCTCCTCACACTGCTGGTGGGTTCCATTTTTTGTCATAGGGTGCTGGCAGATTACGGGCCTCCCATAGCTGCTGCCAGGCCCCTAATCTGCCATGGGCCCCTGTTGTCGCTTGTTGGCATATTCCGCTCGTTCAGATGCTCCTTCTCCTGCTACTCCTCTTCACGGATTCCGTCAGCAGTCTTTCTTGGAATCCGTTTCCAAGAGACAACAGTTTGCGAGCACGCACCAGACGGTGCAGAAACTGAACGTCCTCCTGTCCAAGTTGCTGCTGCCAGGCTCGTAATCTGTCATGCGCCCCTGTACCGCCTCCTCATGCTGCTGCCAGGTCCAGAGTGTGTCATGGCCCCCCGTACCGACTCCAAATGCTGCTGCCAGGCCCGTAATCTGTCATGGGCCCCTGTACCGCCTCCCCATGCTGCTGCCATGTCCAGATTGTGTCATGGGTCCCTGTACGGCCTCCCATTGCTGCTGCCAGGCCTGTAATCTGCCATGGGCCCCCGTACCGACTCCTCATGCTGCTGCCAGGCCCGTAATCTGCCATGGGCCCCTGTACCGCCTCCTCATGCTGCTGCCAGGTCCAGAGTGTGTCATGGGTCCCTGTACGGCCTCCCATTGCTGCTGTCTCTATCGCCACACTCTGCCATGTGCCACTTTCAGGTCTCCTCACACTGCTGGTGGTTTCCATTTTTGTCATAGGGTGCTGTATGGCCTCCCATTGCTGCTGCCTCCACCGCCACACTGTGGCTCCACACTCTGGTTTTGGCCCCGTGACTGGCAAAATGAGTGAAGTGTGCGGTGATTCTAAGATCGACGGCACTCATCTGCATGTCATACTGCCTGACAGTATTATTTCTCTTCCCCAGCAGACTCCAAGGGCATTTAAATTAAAGGTACAGTGTTCAGCACTAATATTAAGTCTCTCTGAAGCCTAGAAACACCCTTTTTAAAGTTAAATTCACAGCGAATATATTCGACTCGAATCAAAATTTTTCTACGAATTCGCCGAATCAGTCGAATCGAATTTTTGAATACTTCGCTCATCTCTAGTTACGACACTTTGGAATGCTCATAAATCTTATATGAGAGGCCTCTTTATAAAGATTGGTGAACACGAGAAAAAAATGTGATATTACATCACCTCCCATCTTCTTGACCAGATTTGAGTCGCAGAACACAATAATATATCTAAACCTAATGATTGAGACTCTGCTGAACTGCATCAGCTTAGAGAGAAATTATGTATACATCTGCTTTTCTATTAAACGACTGCACCTCAACTGGTACGCCTATGGCAATAAACCGGGGGCAGTATTGGCCAAACAGCTCAAACAGTGGTTCGCCCTTGCTAGGATAACAGCTATGAAAATAACTCAAGGCTAGTCACTAATCCTCAGGATATATCTAACTGTTTCAGTGCGTTTTACTCCAACTTATATAACATAACAACATCTAACACAATTCCTTCCCCTAGCTCAGAGGACCTACAGTATATAGTTTTCTAGACTCCATACATCTTCCCTCTATTACTACAGCACAAGCCACAGATTTATCCCGACCATTTCTGTGGAAGAAGTATTAAAAGTTATCACATCTCTACCTCTTCACAAGGCCCCTGGCCTGGATGGCTACTCAAATGAATATTATAAAACTTTTCCTTTGCTCCTCACGCCATACCTATGTAGATCCTTTAATAGATTTGCTTTCATGGGTGAAATCCCTACAGAATCCTTAGAAGCTCTGATTACTATTATCCTAAAACCAGGTAAATCTATGGAAGACCCCACCAATTACAGGCTGACATCCCTCTTAAATAGGGATTTAAAGCTGTATGCATCACTTTTGGCCAACCGTATTTCTACCTATATCCCAGATCTGTTACATCCTGACCAAGTAGGCTTTATACAAGGCTGTGAAGCCTGTGACGGAACTAGGAGGTTTATTGACCTCATTCAATGGATGGAACACCACAGAATGCCTTCTCTGCTTCTCTCCCTAGATGCAAAGAAGGCATTTGACAAAGTCCATTGGGACTATCTCAAAGCGGTTCTTAAAAAAATTTGGCTTCTTGGGAACTATTTTATCGGCCATACTGGGCTTATACTCTACTCCCTCTGCTACAAGTATG